CCCAGGCATTCACACACACATATACACATCTAAGATAAATATACAATAAAAATTGGAAAAAATTACAAATTAACATAAAATGAGAAACACAAAGAATAGTTATAGATAGGGGAGATGTTAGTGATTATTGCCTGTGGTAGATGTAAGATATTGTAGTCTGTAAGGGAAGATGTCAGAGACTATAGGCTGTGGGTAGATGTTATTGAATATAGGCTGTGGGTAGATATTGAATATAGGCTGTGGGTGGATATCATTGAATATAGGCTGTGGGTAGATATTATTGAATATAGGCTGTGGGTAGATATTATTGAATATAGGCTGTGGGTGGATATTATTGAATATAGGCTGTGGGTGGATATTATTGAATATAGGCTGTGGGTAGATATTAGTGACCATAGGTTGTAGGTAGATACAAGATATTATGCACTGTATGTATCATTTCTTTAAATAGATAATTTCTGTAAACATATTTAAGTTTAGAAACCCACAAAGATGAAGAAAAACAGCAACTTTGTTACCTAGTTGGCCTGTGATCGCTGTTTATAACTGTTCGGCAGTAGATACGAGGGCAGCTATAGAAACTTATAGTAGAGATCTGAAAAATACATAAGAAAATTTTCATTAAAATGGTTGAAACTAAAAAAATCAAGACTTTATAACCTTTTCAAAATGACTTGTTAATAATCATTAAAAACAGAGAAGTGCAAACAATTTTCCATAAAACTTTTTATAGAATTCTTATGGTAATCTCGATACTATCATATAAGCAACCCCCAGATCTTAAGCAAACAATATTATTAAACATAGACAATACAAAAACATACTAGGCGTCCCCAGGCATTCACCCACACATATACACATCTAAGATAAATATACAATATAAATTGGAAAAAATTACAAATAAACATAAATAGAGAAACACAAAGAATAGTTATAGATTGGGGAGATGTAAGTGATTATTGCCTGTGGTAGATGTAAGATATTGTAGTCTGTAAGGGAAGATGTCAGAGACTATAGGCTGTGGGTAGATGTTATTAAATATAGGCTGTGGGTAGATATTAAATATAGGCTGTGGGTAGATATCATTGAATATAGGCCTTAAGGGTAGATATTATTGAATATAGGCTGTGGGTGGATATTATTGAATATAGGCTGTTAAGGGTAGATATTATTGAATATAGGCTGTAAGGGTAGATATTAGTGACCATAGGTTGTAGGTAGATACAAGATATTATGCACTGTATGTATCATTTCTTTAAATAAATAATTTCTGTAAACATATTTAAGTTTAGAAACCCAAAAAGATGAAGAAAAACAGCAACTTTGTTACCTAGTTGGCCTGTGATCGCTGTTTATAACTGTTCGGCAGTAGATACGAGGGCAGCTATAGAAACTTATAGTAGAGATCTGAAAAATACATAAGAAAACTTTCATTAAAATGGTCGAAACTAAAAAAAATCAAGACTTTATAACCTTTTCAAAATGACTTGTTAATAATCATTAAAAACAGAAGTGCAAAAAATTTTCCATAAAACTTTTTACTTTTTATAGAATTCTTATGGTAAACTCGATACAATCATATGAGCAACCCCCAGATCTTAAACAAACAATATTATTAAACATAGACAATACAAAAACATCCTAGGCGTCCCCAGGCATTCACCCACACATATACACATCTAAGATAAATATACAATATAAATTGGAAAAAATTACAAATAAACATAAAATGAGAAACACAAAGAATAGTTATAGATAGGGGAGATGTTAGTGATTATTGCCTGTGGTAGATGTAAGATATTGTAGTCTGTAAGGGAAGATGTCAGAGACTATAGGCTGTGGGTAGATGTTATTAAATATAGGCTGTGGGTAGATATCATTGAATATAGACTGTGGAGAGATATTAGTGACTGTATGTTGTAGGTAGATATTAGTGACTATAGGTTGTAGGTAGATATTATTGTATATAGTCTGTGGAGATATATTAGTGACTATAAGTTGTAGGTAGATACAAGATATTATGGACTGTATGTATCATAATCTTTGTAAGACAGGAAGGTAATATTGTTATTGTTATATCCCTTTATGGCTTCTATTTGTATTTCATTTTACTTGATAACATTACCTGTATGTGTTTCGAAACGGAGTATGTAATAAAACTAGAAGTAGTATATCCATATAACTTGTGTTCTTAATGTATCATTCCTTTAAATAATTTCTGTAAGCATATTTAAGTTTAGAAACCCAAAAAGATGAAGAAAAACAGCAACTTTGTTAGCTAGTTGGCCTGTGATCGCTGTTTATAACTGTTCGGCAGTAGATACGAGGGCAGCTATAGAAACTTATAGCAGACACCTGAAAAATACATAACAAAAATTTTAATTAAAATGGTTGAAACAAAGAAAATCAAGATTTCCAAAATATGAGTTATAAATTCTAAATTTTATCAGAAAATGAGAGATAGCACATGAAACCCTGGCCAATGCCCAGTTTCTGGACAAAAATTCAATATATCCTGACCTTGAAAATCTTGAGCTAGTCAAATTGAAAGTAGATCATTATATTCCAAAACATCCCATGACTGTCAAGGCTCACAAAGGCAATATATTTAGAATCATCTTTCTACCTAACAACCTCTTATCTCATAATACCTAAAAAAAATAATAATATAATTTTAGACATCAAATTCCTAATCTACAAATGTTTGTTGAGTTGCATTCTCTTGACACTCACTTTTTCCAGAAAACAAAACATTAATTATAATTACAAACTATTACCTATAAGATATAGCATAAGAATACTAACCTGCCACTTATGGTGATCTTGATACACTCTATGTAACCTTCTATTTATATCAAATTAATACCTACAATAGCTTTAAAATTTTAAAATATTATTCCTCATTATTACAAGTTTTAAATATGATATTCAATAAATATGATAGTGAAATAAAGAGTATATCAGCAAACCCCAGATCTTATAAACAAACAATATTATAGACTACAAAACATAGACAATACAAAAACAACTTAGGCGTCCCCAGGCATTCACACACACATATACACATCTAAGCTAAATATACAATATAAATTGGAACCTTCAGTCATGCACTTCTTTTGAACTCTTTAGGGTGATACTGAATAATATTGAGTATGAGTTATTGCCCTTGATCTTGAAAACGTGTTCAATTTTTAGCTCGTGAAAACTGTAGAAGGCAAATATTCAATCTTCAGCGAGGGGCTGCATAATAAAACCAAGTTTCATCAAAATCCATCAAGAATTGTGCCTTCTAGATGATTACGAGCTAAAATTGAACGTGTTTTTAAGAGCAAGGGCAATAACTCATACTAAATATTTTTTGATTTTCTGATATTCAATAGGCTTTATCCTTGGGTGATAACAAACACTCATGCAAAGTTTTGTCAAAATCTGTCTGGAATTGTGTCTTGTAGAGTGTTTAACCAGGCAAGGTAACATATGCCCACTGGCAGCTGTCAGAAATGATAAAAAAGTCATTAGTGACTAAAGTATGAATTTTCTCATATTGAAGAATGGGGATACCATACCTACTGCAAGTGTAGCTTATCTATATATATATAGCTACATGATTTAGATAGTTTACTGTAATTGCGTATTGCCTATGATTACGTCATTATAAATACCCCTCTACCATGCATTGTGATTACCCGCCATTCGAGTTCTGATTGTAATAAAGCTAGTATGAATTAAATCGGTGCCTAATTATTTATGTCGGTTTACTCCGAAAAGCGGGAGATATATCATTTGTCTACCAGGTGAAGCTTCTGTAAAAGATGTAAGAGAATGTCTCAATTAACTGAAATAGGTGAAATTTTTAAGTTTAATTATTCCTGTGATCCGACGAAATTATCAAGAAGATAGCTGAATTGGTAACGTTCATTAGAATTATATGCTGAAGGTAAGTCACGGAAAATCGACAAAGTAATCTTTACTGTTGAATGGTGGTGGATTAGAAATGCAGGACATTTTCTACAGTGACCATTTAGATTAGGGGTTGTGACGTTCAAGTTTTACCGACGACCACGTGGTCTTTAACGCTACTTCAGGGAAAAAATAATTTAACATTGGAATTATTATTTTCTTGGGGATCAGCCCGTCACCAGAAGTGAATTGGTGCTGGGGGTCCCTAATACAGGGATCAAGGGTGTAATTCGTCGCAGCTAACGTTACCTGAGGGGCAATGGTGTTTATGGTGTATAGTTGCAGTACTGATATTGGTCGGTTGTGTCAGAATTTTTAAAAAATTAGATGCCCATAGAGGTGTCAAAATTTCCATCAAAACGTTTATCTTTTTAGTTTTGTAGGAAACTGCCTCTTAGGAAACTAGCTCTGACCATCTCAATTTCTACGATTATTTATTCTGCGGTTATAATTCAGTCTGGAAATACATGACGGTGATTCCAAACGCATTTGATATTCAATTTCAAATTATATTGTAAAGTTTTTATGCTTACAAGAAACGCGTTCGATTTTCAGAACTTGCAGGGTGCAATTAGGGAAATTTTGCCAAGACTGCGGCAATGGCCTGCTCGATTTCCAACAGTCGAGTTTTCCCATGATAGCCTCTCTAACCTGCATCACTGACATGGGGAAACCAGGTTGAAAAACCGAATGTATGATCTCGAGCCACCGCGGCTCCATGAATTTGACCAAAAAAAAAAAAGCCAGCGGACGTAAATTACCATGCCTGGCAAGCAATCTTTAACATACGTGTTATATTTTTTTGAAGCAAAGGGGAAAATGACTACTGTCCATAATCATCGGAAACAATTCTCACTGAGCCACCGCGCTCCCGAACAATTTTTATGCTTTTTGGCTAAGGCAAGGGCAATATCTAAAAGTCCGTTTGACGTTCATCGAAAAATCGTCAAATTCATACTTGTCCCAGATCTCATCAATATAAATGATCACACCAAGTTTCAAGTCACGGCAATATACGTCCACATTTCCATGTGGGCGTTTTTCCTGTGCCCTTGGCGATACCTGCTGTAGTGCCTAGCTTATCTATAAAATAGCTACATGTTTTAGATGGTTTACTGTACTGCATCTTGCCTATGATTACGTCATTACAAATACCCTCTTAAGTTTAATTTTTATTCCGGTGATCCGACGAAATTATCAAGAAGATAGCTGAATTGGTAACGTTCATTTGAATTACACGCTGAAGGTAAGTCACGGATAATCGACAAAAAGAAATATGATATGGATAGTATTATCGTACCGTTGCTAAATACCATTTAGTAAATGCGAGAAATACGGACATGTAAAACTAAGAACATTCAAACAAGTTCAATTGGGAGTTACAGTAAACGGCGCTTTTGTCAATCAAGTCAGTCAACCGGAATAGACTTACACCAAGGTCGTTAAAATATAAACAGAA